ATGGTCCCTGAAGTATGGGTGGGTGAGTTTTAATTCTATTTAGGGACACACACTGCAGTCTCTTATTTTCACAGCTTTGCTGTTTGTGGCCTTCTGTGTGGGTCACACTTTGTTACATTTCAAAGCTCCATTGGTAAGAACTGAGGGATGTGTTAGTATTCTCTCTACTCCCTTTTCTGCTATGTTCCATGAGCCTTAGGTATAGACTGACTCTGTAGATGTGTCACTTAGGGTTGGGCATCTCTCAGACTCTTATTCTCTGTATGTGGCCAGTTGTGGAACTCTGTAATATCTCCATCTGTTGCAAAAACAAGCTTATTTGATAATTAGTGTATGGTATATTTGTCTGTGAATATAAGGATCCATATTTAGCTCACAGATTTGGAGCAACAGAACAGGAACTCACCTGGAAGCTTCCTCCTGAAGACTAGCTCTTATAGTTCTAGAAGATACTATACAAGCTGCTAAGGGAGAAAAATCAATCAGTGGTACAACCCCAGCTTCAAGACCTAATAACTAACACCACAACTGGTACAAGCTACAGTGGTGCAGCAGTGGAACTTTTATCTCGGGGGGGGTGGTAATCAACAATTCTCTAATTGGACTTAAAACCCTCTCAATGTGAAGGAATTCATGGGTAGCACTATAAACATAGCCAACTACACATGGGTGGAGAGGTCATAGATCCTAGAGAAAACCCTATCTGTGTCATATCTCTGGCAATGAACTTTTTATTTGATAGTCTATGGTGTCTGAGGGAAGCATTGCCAACCTTTTATAGAGTAACACCATTTAAACTCATTTTATAAATCTATATATTTCAGAAAGTCTCTACAATAAGAGTTCCATATGGCACCTTCAAAATTCCTTCATGTTAGTTATCTCTACCCTTATTCTGTCTTATAACCTGCCCTCCCACTCCCACCTCCCATTTAGCACTTACTGTTCCATAGTTCCCCTTTACCTCTTCCCTTGAAATACCTCCCTTGCTAGTTTCCTGCCTTCTAATTGAACTCTAATTTAAACACAATTATTTAAATATTCAGAAGTTAGCATCTACATATGACAGAGAATATGTAGCATTTTATTTTGGGGTCTAGGTTACCTCACCCAGAATGATTATTTCTAGCTCCATCCATTTACCTGTGAAGTTCATAGTTTCATTTTTTCTTTAAAGTTTAGAACATTCCATTGTGTATACGAATTACTTTTTCCTTATTCATTCATCTGTTGATGTACATATAGGATGTTTCTTATTCTTGGCTATTGTTAATAGAGCCACAGTGAACAAGGATGAACAAGTATTTCTCTAGTAGTACATAGAGTCCTTTGGGAATATATCCAGGAATGATATAGCTAGATCATATGAATGTCATACAATATATTTTGATCACATTAAAATTCCCTCCTATATCTGTACCATCCCTTTCTATACCCCACCGCCAAATATATAGAGAGAGTTAGGTTTGTGTCCTCAAATGACTTTCAATGCTAGTTCACCTACTGGAGCCTGATCAACCTACTAAGAGTTTCACCCTTAAATTTCCACATGGAAACAAAGTTTTCCAGTCATCTGATCAGGTTATCATATAAAATCATAGCAATGTTGACAACATGAGCATGTCTCACGTAAGCTCTAGTCAGACAAAATCTCAACACAGACTTGGAGACATGGGTAAGAAAATCAAATGCTAACTAAGGAACTACTAGCAACCAATGTCTGTTGGGAAGGGGGAGATTCAGTCTCACTGAAGGGTGAGCCTCTTAGTAAGTTGACCAAGCTCCAGTGGACATACGGAAGCTTTTAAATTTCATGAAGTCACACAGATTCAGTGTCTCTGGTCTTGTGCTGAGGTCCTGTATCCATTTGAATCTAGTTTAGTGCAAGTTGAGAGACAGATAGGACTCTATGTTCATTTTTGTACATGTTGTTATCCAGTTTGCCCAACACCATTTGTTGACTACACTGTCTTTCTTCAGTGTGTGTTTTTGCCCTCTTTGTCAGGAATCATGTGTTTATAACTGTCTGGATTAAATCTGGGTCTTCATTTCTATTCCACTGATAAATTTATTTAGGTTAGTATTATACAAGTTTTGTTTTTACTGTAGGTCCATAGCATTATTTGAAATCAGAGATGGTGATGCCCCCATTGGTTTTTTTATTGCTCATGATTGTTTTAGCTATCATGGTTTCTGTGTTTCCATATGAACTTTGCGATTATTCTTTCAATTTATCTTTAGAATTGTGCTAAAACTTTGATGGGTATTGTGTTAAATATTGCTTTTATTAGGATGGCCTGTTTTACAATATTAATCCTACCAATCCAATAGCATGATAGGGTTTTCCACCTTATGATATTTTCTTCAATTTTTTTCTTAAATGTCTTAGAGCTTTTGTTTTACAAGTCTTTTACTTCCTTTGTTATATTTATTCCAGGATGTTTTTCAGGCTGTTGTGAATGAGATTGATATCTTTCTTGGTATTTTTTTTTTGATGGTGGTTTGTAGAAAGGCTATTGGTTTTGGCATGTTAATTTTGTAACTTGCTATTTGCTCAATGTGTTTATCAGCTCTAAGAGTCTTTTGGTGATATTGAGGGTTTTATGTGTAGAATTACATTATCACGAAGAAGGATATTGTGACTATTTCCTTTTTTAGCACCCCTTTGACTCTATCTCTTGTCTTATTGCTCTGTGTAAAACATAAAGCACCATGTTTAATAGTAGTGGAGAGTGTGAACATCTTTGCTCTGTTCTTGATTTACTGGGAATGCTTTGAGTTTTTCTCCATTTAATATGATGTTGGCTGTGGACTTGTTACTGCCTTTACCATGTTGAAATATGTTCCTTATATCTTCAGAAACTCCAGTACTTTTTGAAAGTAGGGATGTTGAATTTTGTCAAAGGACTTTTCAGCTTCTAATGAGGCCATCATATGGTTTCATTTCTTCAGTCCACTTATATGGTGGATTACATTCTTCATATGTTGAATCATCTCTGAATCTCTAGGATGAAGCCAGCTTGAATGTCATGGATGGTTTTTTGATGTGTTCTTGAATTTTCTTTTCCAATATTATTATATATAATTTCTTATCCTAAATGCTTTAATTACCAGGGTTATATTTGACCTAATCAAAACATTACTTTACTAAGGTCAGTGTTCTGTATTTCCTTCAGAAATCAATCCAAACTAAAGCTACTCTGATCATACAAAGTATTGCTTAACCTGTAGACATGCTAGTAGGATTGAAACTGATACAGTAACTATGGAGTTCAGTATGGAGAAGTCTCAAAAATCTAAAATCAGATCTAATAAATAATCCAGCTGTACCACACTTAGGCACACACCTAAGGCACTTTATATCCTACTATAGAGATACTTGCTCAGCCAGGTTCATTGCTGCTCTTTTCGTTATAAATAGATTTGGAAACAACCTAAATGTCTTTCAGTTGCTGAATAGATAATGAAAATATGTTACATATACACAATGGAGTCTATTCAGCTGTAAAAAATGAAATTAAGAAAAGTTCAGTAAATGGATGGCCCTGGAAAACTTTATAGTGAGTGGGGTAACCCAGACCCAGAAAGACAAAGGTCATGTGCTCTCTCTTATTTATGGATACTAGCTATAAGTATTTATATATAAGTATATAACCTGAAGCAACTGCAAAAGCCAGGAAAATTGACAGGAACCATGAGGGGAAGGGGAAGAAAGAGTTCTATAGAGGGGGATAGTAGAACACAGGCATTACCATGGATGAAATAGGGAAAACGGGGAAGGATTTAACTGGGAGGGAGGAGAGAGGATATACAGAAGGAAAGGGAGAAAGGCGAGATGAATAATACCAAGGATGTCTGAAAAAGTCATAAGCAAATGTATTAATATATGTGTGTGTGTCTATGTCTCTGTGTCTGTGTGTGTTCGTGTTTTGCTGAAGACTATCAGCAATAGTCTCTGTGTGTCTCTGTGTGTCTGTGTTTTGCTGAAGACTATCTAACCAAAATCCCAGTGCCAGCTATGGGATACTTTCCTTTGAGTTGTTGGTCAGGGTAGTCCAAGAGACTCTCAAACAAGATTGACTATTGCCAGAGCCATTAATTGCCTTCCAGTAATTGAAGTTAAGAAGAACTTATAGCAGAAGATATTACATCCTTCAGACACATGATTTTGAGGAATTGAGTTGGAACTGACCTTCCCTATTTCTTAGTTTTAAATTATGAAACATGTCCTTCTTATTCTGTCATTTTTATATACATGCACAATAACACTTTCCCCCAAATGATACAAATAAAGCAATAAAGCTACAAATATTTTCATAAATCATAAACAGTAGCAAATCAACTCTTTGCATTACTCATGGAAACAGATTGACCTAAAAGCATTCTCTCTCTCTCTCTCTCTCTCTCTCTCTCTCTGTCTGAGATAGCCCCCTTTCTGTTTGTTTCACACTATGATTTCTGATATCAATTTCTACAAGGAGTAAAATTCACTATTTCCAAGTAAACAGAGAAAGGAAGTTTGAAAGACTGAGAGATTTTTCTGGTATATTCACTCACAGAACTCAAGCATACCAACACAACGGACAAGTGTGATAGAAATCTTTAACCTACACAATTATCAGTTATGTCAGGCATATGACTTAAGTAATTTTGAAAGGAATAATATTACTTTAATATCTAGTGTTTTCATAAAGCCATATTAAAGAATACGTAGTCCAGCAAACCATTGCTTTCTCTTTTATTTTATTTAACATTGCATGAATACTTGAACAAAAGTCTTTAACGTTTTCAAGTTAAAAGTAACAAGATTTTAAATATTTTATTAGGCATATCACCTAAGTCATTAAATTGCCTGAAGAAACAACTTAATCACAGTTTTAAAAGATGAGAAAATCAAAACTGAAAAAAGCTCTGGACAATTCCATAAACTCATACATAAGTAACAATAAAATATTGGTGAAATGTTTATACTAAAACAACACCAAATATTTGTATGAGACCTAAGCATTTTTCTTCAACATTTTTGTCAGAGAATCTATAACTTGCTTGTTTCTCAGGCTGTAGATCATTGGATTTAATGCAGGAATTATGATTGTGTAAAATAGAGAAACTATCATATTTTGATCACCTGCTTGTTGAGATTGAGGGAGAATATACATGATGAGGAGAGGGCCATAGTACAAAGCCACAGATAAGAGATGGGCTCCACAGGTGGAGAAAGCCTTCCTTATGCCTTGCACAGACTTCTTTTTTAAAATTGTAAACAGAACAAATGTATATGACACAAGAACAATTGCAATGGTGAAAGCTTGAATAAAACCAGCCAAGGTAAACAGAAGTTGAAAATTCATAGAGGTGTCAACACATGAAATCTTCAACAATGGTATAATATCACAATAAAAATGATGTATTATGTTGGAATTGCAGAAGATTAATCTAAATAAAAACACTTCATGAATGGAAGTGTGAAGAAATCCACCTGCAAATGATAAGACTAATAGAATAATACAGAGTCTATTGGTCATAATAACTGGATAAAGTAAAGGTTTACATATAGCTACATAGCGGTCATAAGCCATAGCTGCCAAAATAAAACATTCCGTGGTAACCCAGATTCCACAGGAAAAAAACTGTATCAAGCATTCATAAAGAGAAATCCTCTTCCCTAGCTGTAAGAAGTTGAGCAGCATCTTGGGTGTTACTGAAGATGATACACAAGCATCCACAAAGGCCAAACACCCAAGGAAAAAGTACATGGGGATGTGTAAACGAGGGTGATTCCAGATGAGAATGATCAGCCCAAAGTTCCCCACAATGGTGACAAGATAGATCACCAGGAATAAAAAGAAAAGGGGCATCTGAAGACCTGGATGATCTGTGAGTCCTGTCAGTTCAAACTGTACAAACAATGTTGCATTTTCTTTCTCCATGTCCTCACAGGATGGCCCCTGAAATGACACAAAATACTTTCAAAAATGTTCACTAGGATTTATAAAGTGAATACCTTGGGGAAGAGCATTTAGTATAAATTGATAGCCCTATCAGAATAACATTTTAATTTTGTTTTATGTTATTCCAAATTATAGAAAATGATTGGAGGAATAAAAAACTAATAAATGCACTCTTTTCAATTATAAAAATGTGATAAAGTATAATTTTCTCTTTAAAACTGTCCCCAAGTTTATTGAAATGCAGATAAAATGGTCAATTTGTGTGTGAAATGACATTGGGAGAGTTGAGAATGATAAATACTAGATTTAAAAAATTTCAGAATATCAAATCACTGGGACTTAGTCACATATTTAGTGCAGACAGTGCTCAGTAAATAAGGGATAAGGGAGATGTTTGGCTACCAGTTAGATTGTCATGTAGAAATGAAATTGAATGCATGAATGCATGTGCAAGTTTATAGTATGGGTATCCTCTAAATGTACAGGTAAGATTTCCATCATAACTTGACTGATATAGAAGGTTGTTAATAATTACATGGAGGCCAATGGTATTTGAAAACTTTGTGTGGACCATGTAGCTGAGTCTACAAATATAGGCCAATTAAAGTACTAGTTACCTAAAAGACTGATGCCATGCATTACTTGACCAATTTTCTGACCCAGTTCTACAGTGTGTTCTTGGCTAGAGACAGGAGATTTGTCTTATAAATTTGTTCACTCACGTCCACCAACTTAGATTGTTTATAAATAGATGGAGATGAACATCTGGAAAAAACAAAACCCACCACCAATAAAAAACTAAAGGTGGGTTATTTATCCAAAGCAGAAATGTCAAGAATCTAACACTCTCAGCCTGCATCTTCAACTGTGACATTAGCAGTGCGACTTGTGACAGCAGACATTCAAAAGCAGTAACAGCTGCCCTCATCTACCTAGAATTGGAGTGTGATAATTCCAGTCGACTACCCACCTCGCCTCCTGGTATGTTGTCCAGTGTAGTCCTAATAATTGCTATTTTAGGGTTAATCCCCCCCCCAATTTCTTTGTCATGAATAGCTCAGGAAGCTCCAAAAGAAAGAAAATTCTTTGTTGTGTGGTATATACTTTTAATCCAACTCAAACATCAAACTTCAACCAGATAACTGAAGGCTGTTATCCTAAAGAAAATAGAGATACTAATAATAGCAAAGTCAATGAACACTGTCAAAAGTCAAAATCAATGCTCTGATAGGACAAGCAAAGAGAGGTCCTTGAGTGCTGAAATTAAGAAACATACAATGGCTTTTCTGAGAAGTTTCCAGCATGTGTCAGATGTGATGTCAGAGAGTAATAGGAACTAAATGGCAGGCAGTATCTCCACAGTGAAGGTATGATTACCTGGAGACCCCAAAATGTTGACAGTTGCCATTTGCAGTGCTTCTAATCTAGTGTAAACTGTTGCCTGTAGAACATGTTCATTAAAGTTTTAAATAAAAGGATAAATATATCAGGGGAGAGAAAGGGGGAAAGAAAGCTAAATTTGCTTTTAAAAATTAAAAACAAAAGGGAAGAGAAAAAGAATTGAACAAAGTATGGGACAGGCAGCAGAGGAATGACAAGGGAGGAAACAAACAGAGGGGCTGCCAGGGAAGACAAGAGGAAAGCAGGGGCAGTTCAGGGGGCCTGGGGGAGCTTCTGTCTTCTCCCTGGTGTTCAGTTCTGCCAGTAGGGAAAACTTTTTATTTTCCTTTTGCAAAGGTCAAAATACATTTTCCTGTGGAATGTATGTCACAAAAGGTTGATCTTTAATTTTATGTTATCCTTAAGTGCGTTTTCACTGCCTGAGTGTTCTTTGCTTATGTAAATCTTACTTCATGTTTGTTATGATAGAAATTGGAACTACTTTCTCTAGAAATCTTTCTAGTTGAATTTGAGAGCATTTATCTTTCTTGGTTGAACCAAACATTGAATCTTCATACAAATGATACCTGGAAGCACAGTCTTTCCAGTGGTTAAACAAATTATTTTAAATAATGTGTTTCTTTATACATAATCACAAATCACGAAAGTGTGACTTTTTAAATATTTTCTGTTTGTGTTTATGTACATATATATATACATACACACACACATGAACAATCACACATACATGCACACTCCCCACAAATACATCTTAATATGCATTACTTCATAAAACAAACATATTCTATACATTTTCTATTATTAATCTGTTTCTCCCTCCATAAAAACCATACATGTTTTTATGTATGTTTATACATGAAGGTGTATTCAAATAAATTATTCTAGGAAGAATGTAACATTGGAATTAATTTCTCTAGAAATTTTTTTAGAGAAACATTATACAAGATTGAATATTTAAGTGACTGGCCTTAAATACTGTAATCCAAGAATGTGGTAAACAGAATAGGCATTTTAACTGGAATTACCAAAAGAAATTTCTTTATAAGAAAAATTATTACTTGGGCCTCTAAAATAAATTTTAATTAATGTTTTAGTTCAGAACTTAGATTAAATAGATAATGGAACATAATTAACCAGAAAAATTGTGGTTAAATTATATTGTTTATTAATATTTATCAGCAAAATAAAACATACATAATCCTTTCCTTTTTTCTTATTTTGATTTATAGCAAGCTGGATTCTGATAAGACAAATATAAGACTGTCACAATTTAAGCAATATTTTAACTCCACAGAAATGCTGGATTATTACAAATAGTTCTCTCTTACCCATATATTTAAAGAAATTTCAGAGATTCTTAAAAAGTGCTGGAGTTTCTATAGCCAACAAACACAGCAGGACAGGTATGCAGTAACATAGGCAGCAATTCTTATTGCAATGCTTTGTTTTTGAAATTTCTTTCCATGAAAACAGAAAAATTTCATCTACATAAAGTTGTTTTCAAGGTAAGAGAAGACCAATTGTAGCCCAGTGTGTTTTCTCCAGCAGAGGAAGGAATGGAGAACTGAAATTCCCATAACAGAGCCCATGCTTCCCTGGAGGACAAATGGAAGAACTATACGCTGTGGATTGGACACACGTGAGGGGACCAAATGGTCCCTAGTGCATCACAGACTTCTAAACTATACATATCCACATGTAGTTGCTGAATCTAGTCTTAAAATTTCATTTATGTGACAAATTCGGGTGAGGCTATGGAGAAAGGAAACTCAGCCGCTGCTCGTGCAAACTAGTGCAGCAACTACAGAAATCAGTATGGAGAGTCCTCAAAAAAAAAAAGCTTAAGATTGACCTACCAAATGTCCCAACCATTTAACCTTTGAGTATACACCCCAAAGAATCTATATCCTACAACAGAAATACCTGTTCATCCATGTTTGCTGCTGCCTGTTTCATAATACCCAGAAATTGGAAACAAGCTAGATTTCCATCAACTGATAAATGAATAA